TCATTTTGGGAATCCAGGCTGGGCTGGGAGGAACCCAGCACTCAGCCCTGTGCTCCTCACTCATTTCATTTTGGGAATCCAGGCTGGGCTGGGAGAACCCAGCACTCAGCACTGTCTCACTCACTGCATTTTGGGAATCCAGGCTGGGCTGGGCACTCAGCCCTGTGCCTCTCACTCACTGCTCACTCTGTCACTGTGCACATAGAATGCAAAAGGGCAAAGTGACAAGGACTGGGACCCCCAATGTGCAGCAGCAAGGAGTGCTCTGGCTCAGCAAAGCCACAAGCTGCTTTTTTCCAGCAGCAGTGCAAGGATGGATGTCTGGTATTACAAGCCCATCCCAGACAAACCATTATGGTTTTACTATGCTGCGTTTTATAGGATAGTTTAAGATAAAAATGGTGATTTGTCTAATACTATACTACTTACATTATAGCATTAAAAATACAATTTTACTGTAATAATTTCTTCTCCCCCAGGCTTTTATATCTATAAAAGAAAGTGCATATGGCTCTATAAATCATATCAGACCCAATAAACCTTTCCTGTGCCAAGCACTGCCTTTGACTTTTTCCTCAAATTCAAGTGGCAACATTTTCCTTGCTGTCATCAGATATGCTCTGCTTTTGAGCTTAAAAATGATTGGATTGGTCCAATGACCACTTGGACAGTGTGTGTCTCATCAACAGTGAGGCAGATGCAATTTCTGCCTTCAAGTTCTCACACAAATCTCCCCAAAATGTACCAGTAATTTAGCTGTGTGCTATTTTCAAGCATGTGGGTAACCTCATGTGCAGAAGTCCTCATGCCTCAGGCAGGTTTAGATCCCTTTTGATCTTAGTTAAAACGTGAAATTCTGCACATTCACTTTGTTGCACCTGGTACAGAATTATACAGCATGTTTGTATGTTTGTAGTTAACATACTCTGTTGGGAGCTTACAAAGCTAAACCCCCTTTTGCCTTTAGTCAGTTGCTCATAATAAAATACTTCCAGTAAATCTAAACAGCCTGATTTCTTCCTTTCCCCCATCACTGCTTTGAGATTTTTCAGAGCCCCTCTCTAGACAGAAATCTGTGCCTTTTACTCCTGCTTTCAAGTTATAGTTTAGGGCTGAAGTCTGATCACGTTTGCATTGCTTTAAAAGAAGAGACAAAGCATGAGCTTACAGGCATTAATTAAAACACTAAGTGCTATAAGGGCAACTGGGTGCTAAGTTGCTCTTTGCATTGTTTCTCATGAAAACACTTGGAAATTCTAACAGGCAGCTTTCAAATCACTACACAGAACGCTTTAAAAATTACTCTGCTGAGTTTCTGACCTTATCTCCTCTTTAAAGAACTTCTTGCATATGGATGTCCCAATGCAGGCGTTGCATTTATCAAGTCCCAGGAAAGTCCGGCCAAAGCTGTAGCTGGGTTTGACGTGGGGCACAGGCGGAGAAGCTGCTGCTGCTGCTGCTGTGGAGGGGTTACAGCCCAGAGCCAAAACCAGGAGCAGCATCAATGGATCTGCAGCTCTGGAGCAAAGGCAGCATATCCAGAGCCCCATCTACAGTAGTGGAGAGCTCTCTGCTTTTTGCAAGCTGTCCCTCTCTAGGATTTCAGTCTCTTTTTGGTGACTTCAGCCTGCAGTGGTGAGCCCTAAAACGCAGCCGGACACTCTGGGTGCAGGAGACACTGCTGCAGTCCCCATCCTGCCAGCTGGTCACTGGCTCTATTGGCTTGAGGTTTGGGTGGGAAAGATATGCTGTAGGGTGGGGAGAAGGAAATACATGGAGGATGCAGATAACTTGGGTTGCCATGGTTATCTTTCCTCTCCTTGTTGCAGCTGCTTTGGCCCCTGCTGACCCTCCCATCAGCAGACTTGGGAAACAACACCAAGAAGTGCTCATCTGCTCTTGGTGCAGACAAATGAAGGATATCCTGTCGCTGGAGAAAAGGGCAGACGTGGGACACTAGTAGAAAAATTTATTTGGGAGGAGTAGTAGCATGGCAGAAATGCACATTTTACCAGAAGCCAGACCACTGGTGTTGCTTTATTCCTGGAGATTTGTAGTGGTGCATGATGTGACTTCTTGGATGCTTCCTTGGCCCTTCTCTGGAAAGGCTGTCAGGTGGAATCATCACTGTTCTGTTTCTTGAAGACAGTATTGTTCAGCAGTGATTGCTAAAAAGAAAGAAATCAGGATAGCCTGCAGCTTTCCCAAAACTCCCAGCTGATGGAGCAGCCTGACCTCTACGCCCCTCTTGGAAAATGAGGTTTTCAGCAAGACTTGTGTGCTTTGGAATGTCTTTTCTTGATGGTCCTGGCACTGGAAAGAAGCTAGAGAAAGGGATGGGGGTGAACTCAGGAGAATGTCAGAGATTTCAAATAGACTTGGAGATTACTGTGATCACACCAAAAGCTGTTCTTGTTAGGACAAAGACTTGGAAGTTCTGGAAACTGGTGGCTACCCATCCTGACCTGGGTGCTGGCGACTGTGCTAGGGTATCTGGCAGGATGCTCAGGGCCAGGGAAGCACAGCTTAAAGGAGCAAGTGGCACTCTGGCTGCAGGCAGCTCACGTTGCTGTGGTGGCCCTGGGCCTGGGTCCTCCCCATCCCCAGCTGTTGTGTTTTCAGTGACACAGGAGGCTCTCCTGGGCCATATCTCACCATGGGAGCAGGGAGGAGCAGACTGAGGCTTTGGAGACTTCTTATCCCTCAGCTGGACTGCTCACACCAAGTGGCCAAGCCATTTCCCAGCGCATTTTTAATGGAAGAAAAGGTGCACTGTGGCCATCCTTTATCATCCCCTCTGGCATTTAACCTGATGGGACAAAAGGATGTGAGAGACACAGGGGTGTGCCTTGGGCTCTGTGATTACCCCTAACTCTCTGAAGGGGCTGCTGGGTGATCCTAACAGTGCAAGGCAGCTATTTAAAGCATAGAGACTCCTTATTTTTGGCACTTGGGAGATCCAGGGTCCCTCCTTGGCTCCACGTTCTCGTGGGAGGTTGCTTCAACTTCTGGTGCACAAAATGGAGATGGTGAGGTTTGGGGCTTGTCTAGAGGGTACAGCACTGACAGAGGGGGATAAGAAACCCTGTTGAGAAGAAAGGAGGATATCATGAACCCTGCAGAATCTGCAAAGCAGAGGGGCTGGGCAGTGCTAACACACCAGCAAGTGCATTCAGTACAACTCTGCATTGAGCCATCATCACACTTGGCCTAACACTCCAAGGTAAAGCTCTTTGAGACATGTTGGTGGAAAGAGACAGAACCAGAGCTAAACAAATATTAGCTGTGTCCCACTTCCAGAAGTTCATCCCTGGTCTTTTCTATTGCTGGTACATTGTTCCTCTCCCCTCTGCAGGAATCAGCCCTGCCCACAGTTTCCTGCCAGTAGCTCTGCAAATTTGGCCATGCCCACATTGCTCCCTGCCCAGCTCTTCCCTGGATGGTACCAAAATTACACACCAGCAATCTGTCTTTATCTTCATTACGTAATGCATAAACCACATATCCTTCAGTTCCTTTACTAATTCAGTTGTCTCCCTTCTGTCTCCTGTCCTCTGCTGTGATTTTAAGAGCAGACACACCAAGGCTTCCATCTCCTGGTGCCCCAGCCTCTGCTGCCCCATGGAAAGGGGAGGGATTCAGCCTCTGGGGGTGGTAATTGAGCCTTTCCGAATGCAAACCCCAGGGTCTGGCACAAAACCCAATGCATGGGCAGTGGGCTGTCTGTGCTATTAATGATGCCTCAATGTCTGTGTTGTTCTTGCACTTTTGTGTAGTTCAGGCACATGTAAAGCAATGGTTATGTCTCCCTAGGAACAGCAGGTGTGAGCGTGCTTTTGTACAATGTATCGCACCTGCATTACCTTGAAGTGTTATAAAAGCAACTTTTTATTCAAAGAATGGGAGCAGATCCATCATGACCACCTCAAGCTTGCTGCTGGCATTTTCATTTACCCCCAGGGTCTGAGCTCCCTCCTTCCCTCAAACATTTCTGCTCAGGCTGGGCAGTCCCTGAGCACAGATGATGTGTGTAGGAAACATTCATTCATGCTCTCAGCACTGAAAAACCAAAGCTTAAAAATGAATAGATGTGTATCTGAACTAACGAGAGAGACAGGTGAGAAACCACAGCTGGGTGAGTGTGAGTGAGAGGAGCTGCACTCCTGAAAGTTGTGCCAGTGTTCACAGGGGTCCCATGATGAGGGAAGAGACGAGGATCTGACTCCATGTTTCAGAAGGCTGATTTATTATTTTATGATATATATTATATTAAAACTATACTAAAAGAATAAAAGAAAAGATTTCATCAGAAGGCTAAGAATAGGAAAAGAAGGAATTACAACAAAGACTTGTGGCTCGGACAGAAAGTCCAAGCTCGGTGGGCTGTGATTGACCATTAATTAAAAACAACCACATGAGACCAATCACAGATGCACCTGTTGCATCCCACAGCAGCAGATAATCATTGTTTACATTTCGTTCCTGAGGCCTGTCAGCTTCTCAGGAGGAAAAATCCTAAGGAAAGGATTTTTCACAAAAGATGTCTGTGACATGAAAGTGCCTCTCTTTTACTGAGGTCATTCAGGAGGTAATGTCAAACCTGTATTTGCTTTCCTTTGTATTTGTTTTCCTTTCCTTTTGGTGACACAGTACAGAGCTCTTGTGGAGAGCAACCAGGTCTGCAGAAGCCTTGCAGATCTTCTTCCTTGTGCCAGGATGTGTGATTTTCAGGGCATGGATCACCGTGGTGTCTGCTGGAACCAAGGGCTGGCCCTAACAACCCCTTGGGACCTTCACAGAGCTTGTACTAGAGAGACTCCTATGTAACACCATTCTTACACCGTGTAAGAACATGGCCCTAACAGAAATGCCTCATTAGTGTTCTAAAAGTTATAATTTCTAACAATTTCTAAAAATTTCTAAAAAGGATCAATATGAATATACTGCCCTATCGAGGTCAGACCAGTTGCAGAAAAGCTTTTGGAGTGGTTTCTACCAACAGAGGTCAAAGTTTTTTACTTAGCCTCTGATCCCTCCTTTCCCTACATACCCTGAGGGGTCTGGAAACACGCCTGGAAGTTCAGCCCCACTTCTGATCACAACCATGTGGGCACTGGAGCTCCTGGGTCCCAAAACCACCGAGTCTCTGCAGGTTTGGGTGGATATGGCTGTGATCTCCAACTGCTCATCAAGGTGGGAGACACCTGCCCTTCCTTGCTGCTGGTTCTGGAGGAGATCAGGAGAACACAAGCTGGTTTTTCCCAAGTGTTCATGGGATGAAATACACCTTTTACTTAACCCACCTCCTGGTCTCCACCCCATCCATGAATGCAATCCACCTGTTCCTCACTGCCTCTTTCCACCCCAGTCTATTGCCCACCTTCCCTGGTCAGTGTCAGCTGCCCCCAGGGATGGGTTTCATGTCAGCAGAGCCTCCCTCTCCCCATCTCATTGGTGCACTGTCATTTCCACTGGGACACTGGAAATGACTTTGCAGAGCAGGAGACCTTTTAAATTAGTTAAAATTAATTAAATAGTTTGGGATAATCACCAATAGGTGTTTCAAAGCATCCCACACGAAGCTGCAGAGCAGCAGAAGGTGCAGTGCTGCTGCTCCTCAGCTGACATTGCCACCAGGGTCTTTGCTGTTATTGACCTGCACTTGCTCATGGAGATTTTGCTGCTTGGCCAACCTAAACCAGCAGATTTTGGGTGTCACATCATCTCATCTTCTTCTCCAGCCCAGGTTTTCAAAAGAGCCTGCTCAGCAAAGATGGATTGCTGCGTGGGTTGCAGGAGGGCTGCATCTCACTGCCACGGACAGAAAGGAAACAACAGACAGGAAAAATCAAAGTTTTGCTGGAAGAGGAGAGGCTCCTGCTCTTCCTGAGACCCTCAGTAATCCCTGCCTGGGTCAGGCTGCCTGCAGCGCCCGGATAAGACCTTGGCTGTCACACAGAGCAGCTCCTCAGGACAGGGTGGAAAGCAGCTCAGGGTGTGGTGCAACCACGACTATTATTAATAGCATTTTTCATTAATCACATCCAAGATAATCATTAAACTATTGCCAAATAGTCAGTACAGACTTGGTATCAAACTGCTTATCACTTCAATCCCAGTTCAGGCTGGATGTGTGGATTAATAGCCGGAGAAGCTTGACACATTTTCAATTCTTTCAAAGTGAAAAATGTGACTCTGAATGCTACAAAAGTCCCAGCACTTGGGAGGATGCGATCACTTCCTTCTTCTCTGTTTTCCTCCCAATTGCATGATTATGAAAGAAACATCTGTTTTGAAGCAATCTGCAACAGAAAATTTTTGTTTCAGTTGGATTTTTAATGGACAGCTTCTGTTACAGAGTCTTGTTCTCTCCAGCCCTGTTTCTTTCCCTTTTTCTTTTGCTGAAAGATGAAAGAAAGAGGAGGAGAAAAAACTCAAGCAAACAAACCCCACTGCCCAGACTACAAATACAGACAGAAAAAGGGGCCACTGGGGTGTGGATGGTGTGAAACTCCACAGCTGAGCTGGCAGAGAATGTTTGCACTTCAGTTCTCTTTGAGAACATTTGATGTTGTGTATGTATGGAATTTTCTACATTTTGAACATATGAATGAGTGTATTTCTCTACATTTTGAATGTATGAATTTTTCTACATTTTGAATGCTAAAAGAGTGATACAAATTTGACCTTTTTTTCCTCACGAGGGAATAATTTCTATTGTGTGATAATCTTAGATGCAATTAATCTGAAGCAACAATAATCGAGTATATTAATTATATATAAAAATAGGTATTGTTCTGTATCTGTGGTATTTTTGGATTCTCCCTGACTCTGTTCTTCTGCTGCAGAAGAGGAAACCTGTTGTTCTTTGGGAAGTCTTTACATTCTGGTAGGCAGCTGCAAGAAAAAGCAAGTGAGAAGAAAAGCCTCAGGCACTGCAGCCGACACATAAGACCAGTTCTAGTTTGTGAGAGGCTGAAATGTCAGTACAGAAGGCCACTGAATGCTATCAGCTGCTCTGCTGTTTGCAGCATTTATGGGGGACCATGCCAAGCAGCAAAAACTGTGGAAGAGGATCCTGGATTTTGGTGCATCACATATCCACAGACTGAATATGAGATGCAGGAATCTCGAGCCTGAGGGAAAACGACAGTGAAAAGGAAATGGGCTGCACAGCAGAGCACAGGGGTGTGCTGGTCACTCCCTGCACAAAGCAGGAGGGAAGGAGGCCGGGATGAGCTGCTTGGGAAGGGAGCAAAGCTCCTCCTGAGGGAGCAGCTGCCCTTGGTGGTGGCTCTGCATGGGCTCCTTGACCACTGGTACCACCAAGCAGCTCCTTAGGTCCAATCCAAATCCACATGGCCAGCACCTGCCTCCTGATTGTGTTTGGTGATGCTGCAACAAAGAAACGAAGCATCACCTTGAGAGGAATGGCAGATTTGTTTTACAAACAAGCTGTGGGTCTGCTGGTAGATAAAACCAGCACTGGGAGATAAAAGAAACAATGGGAAGGATTCCACTGGTTGATGAATGGAAGAGATATTTGTTTTTACAAATAAACTTCAGGTTTGTTGACAAGTGAAATTAGACATTGAAAGGGGAAAGAAACATTGGGGAAGAAAAACCCCTAAATTCCATAAGAATTAAAAATTAAAAGGGAGGGTTATACATTAGAGGTGAATCTCTGGTATCAGGCATTCTGGGCAGTCTGCACCTCTCAAGTACCTCAGCCAATGGTGAAAGAGAGAAGAGAAATGCAGTAGGAAAATTGGGATAAAAAGGAGGCTGCATCCCCCAAAAATTTGAGAGACCCCAGGGAAATGCCCCATGGCCTTTCCCTTTATTTGAATAAAGTAAAAGGACTCCTCTCTCTCCTTTTTGTACATAAACCTCTGGTGTTTGTGGATTAATTTTCCTGACAACTTCCTAGGCTAAATAAATAAATATTTAAATAAATAAATATTTAAAAATCTCTTCCTATAGAAAACCAGAAATATTTTCACTTCATACAATTTTTCAGAGGGAAAGGCCCTACCCACAATATTTTTCTTGGATGTGTGCTATTTGTTCAGCATCCCAAGCAGTTAAAAGTATTAAAAATAATTCAGACTTTCTGGTGTCCTTCAGATTTTTGGTCATCTTCCTCTGTGAGGCAGAAGCAGGCCAAAACAAGATCTTCCAAAATAAAAATGGCATGGCAGGGAGACCCTTTTGGAATAGGTTGGCCAATGAACCAGAGCTGTGAAAAAACCCAGCCTGCTTTCCAAGACCAAAGCAAAACACTTAAGATATGGGTATGAAAAGATTCCTTCTGAATTAGTTACTTGGAAAATGAAAAAAATCTTTAAAAAATATGCCCTGAAGGAATAAAACATGACAACTATTTGATCCAGTGGCAGACTACTAAGCCATAAATTTCTCAAACCACAACTTTCTTTCTGGATACCTATTGTTTGTTTGGCCCAATTTGTTTTCTGTCCATCAGACTGGAATCTCTTTTTTAATCAGCTGTATCATTCCAGCTGTCTGGAATACTTCTGGAAATACTTCTCTGTGGAAGGAGAAGTATTTTGGGAGAAGTGGAGCATGCTCTGAGTAACCTTGGGAGTGGTTTTAACCAATACCCAGTGCTAGGATGGGGAATTTCAGTATGAATTTTAACAGTACAAGTGCACTTTAGGCAGTGACCTTTGCTTTTCCCACATACCAAAGGGAATATGTGCCCTATAGTCTTCAATGCTTTTGTAGGAGTGCAGCTGACATTTGCAGGTGACAATTTTCCATATTCATAAACAATTTTTGATATCCAGGTATTGATTCTTGTTCAGGGATCAGGGCTGGTACAGACCAGGTTCTGCTGTGTCCAGTGCAAATTTGAAGAGGTTCTTTAAAACTGGCAAGTGTATTAATTGGAAGAAAAAATGAATCAAGACACGAAAACTATTGATCTCCTTTGCATTTTTTTATCTCTCATAAAACCTTGGCTTCTATTCTCTTCTGGCTATAAATATGGTGTTTTAATATTTTGGTAACTAGATGTGTGACCTAGGCCACTTCCATTCTCTTTAGCCATTTTCTCCCACCAGCCTCCTCCTTGCATTTTAGAAGAAATAACAATCAGGTGCAGGAGACTCCTCAAAAGCTCCCCCAGGTCAAGCCGATTTACTATCTCTAGAACTTTTTCTACATGCAAGCATTGGTCCAGCAGTGTGAAACAACAGAGCATGGCCATAAATTATGGGGGATTTTTTGGCTTTTGGAGGACTCAGGTAGATGACTCAATGCTTTATTACACTGGGCATTGCATGTCTGGATCCAGATATTTTAGGATAGGCAGCAAAATCCCTGCAAACGAAGCAGGGTAAGCAAATCAATTCCTTAAACATGAGTTAATCTCAGATGAGGTTCAGCCATGAACTCAAAGAAAACCTGCATATCTCATGCTCCATGGTCAACCCCAGCCTGCCCATACTCTGTAACACAGCCTGAAATGCTCTGGCTGCACATTAAATTTTGTGTGTTACCCAGCACCTCTTGTGGCATGTGCTCTATGTGCTCTAGCACACTGCCAGACCAGAAGGGGGAAAAAAATAAAGAAAAAAGAAAAAGGTATGCCAAAATCTGAGTTCCAAGGGGTTTTTAGCCATAAAGAAGACCACACATGTCTTCAGAGAAGAAATAGTCTAGAAAACATAGAAAGCTGTAGGCAATAAGTCCCTTTGCTTTTCATCAAACTGCTTCTCTCCATTGCCACTTTATTTCTTCTGCCTTTAACCTCCCTGGGGGACAATCATGCACGTCACCCTCCCTCACATCACACACTTCTTTTTCTTTAGCATCCTCAAAGCAAATTGGAGATTACTTTGCAGATTGGTGTTGGGAATGAAGTGCTCACACATGCTGCCATGCAAACACCTGCACAGGCTCCTGTGGCATCTGTGCTGCTCCTCCTTGCATTTCCACTGACTTTGTGCTGCATTTCTGGCAACAAGTTAATCTAGAAGTGGAAAATCAAGAAAGGGTTAATTTGAAAAATAAACAAAACAAACTTTGCCTTGTTTGCAGTGATTTTGCATCAGTTTCCATGGAAATGGAAGTAGAACAAGCCAAGAGCAGTGGTGTAGCCAACTTCAGCTGCTGGCTTCTAGTTCTTGCTCCTGTTTCCATGGAAATAGATGCCAAATCAGCAAAAAATAAGGTAACTTGTTTTAAGATAGTAGAGTTTTAAAGGCTTGTCCTTATTTAACCTCAGTCAGGAAGATAGCTGGTGAGGGGAGGCAGCCAGCAGCTCAATGAAAACTTTCAGAAGCTCTTTCAGCAGCTGACTGCTTGTTGAACTCTGCAGAGAGTGAATTCACAGGGCACTCACCAACCTTCAGAAACATTCTGCAACTTTCCTGCCCTTTGTAAATAGCATTTTTCTTCTTGGCATGGAGAGTCACAGCAGCCTGTGGGAGCCCAAGCTAACACCTCTTTGCAAGGCACCCTGCAAGTGCCTCCCTGGGCTGCCTTTGCCTCCCAGAGCTCAGAAATGGATGTGCTTTTCCCAGCTGCAATGTGCAAACCATTCCCATTCCAAGTTCTGTTTCTACCTGTGGAGAGAGAAGCAAAGGAGCGTTAGCTGGGGGAATTCCTGGTTGTGTTTTACAACAAACACCCCACTTTCTTCTTTTCCTGATCCACAAGGGCAAAATTTCACAGAGATAAAAGAAGTTGGCCACAACCTTGTGTATAGCAAAATGTGGATGGGAAAGCAGAACTGAATCCGACCAGAAAAAATACCTCAAAACCTGCTGTAATTTCAAGAACTGAAATTTCATCCAAAGCTCATTTCATTAAAAGAAACTTTAATAGAAAGCTATTTCAAGGTTGGCTTTTGATCCTTAGCTCTTGCTGTGATGGGACTGTCTGTGGGGAAGAGAATTTCTTGGTGGGAAGTTGTGTGAAGACAGAGATGAGAATCCCATTCTAGACCCCACTGTTCCTTGAATTGCTCTTGAATTGTGATTGTTGCCAGCCTTCCTCCACCTCTCTCTACCCCCACAACCCCTTTGCTTATGTGCTCCTTAAGCATCTCTTTAAAGACACCTTTAGACAAGGGATCACATCATGGCCACTTGTGGCCCCTTTTTTGGTAGCAGAATATATCTGGAAGCCATAATTGTGGGTATATGTTTTAAAAAAAATCTTGGCTGGCATTTGTGATGAAGTAAATGCAATTCTAATGAGGCATTCCTTCATTTGCAGCATTATGTTTTTGCTTTTAGGGACATAAAATCTGCTCTTGCAAGGGCACGTGCTTTGCTTCACACACGAAGAATATTCCCTTGGGCTGCTGGGTGAGTAAATAAATGAAAAGTGCAGGCCAAACTAATTTTAAAGAAGTGAATCAGGTCTAGACTGGGGCCTCACCGTTGTTAATTTTAGGTATTACAAGGAATGTGCTCATTTCTGGCTTGTTTCTGTGGATCTTCTTTGAAGAAAACCCAAGAAACATCCAGCCCTTCAAGAAACTGCCAAAAAAGATAGACTTCTTTTGCATAACGAACACTTAAACACATGGGAGGTTTTATTCTTTTCCATTTTGACAGGACTCATTGTCTTAAAAGTCATGGAACTTTCTCCAGTTGCTCTATCAGACAGTTATTGCTGCTGTTGCTGCTGTGATGTGATTTCTTTGTGGCTGTTTTTGAGCTGTTGAGATGCTGTTTGAGGAGGGCAACCCAGGGTTGTGTTACTTATGATCCTTCAGGACACTTCACTAACATTTACCCTGGAAAAGCTTTGGCTTTTTCTGTAATGGCAACAAAACAAAAATAAAAACAAACAAACAAACAAACAAAAAAACCCAAAAAAACCCCAAAAACCCAAAAATCAGGGAAGAAATGCAAAGCAAACTCATACATTTCAAGGGTGGATGTGGGAGGTGGAGCTGAGAGCACCACTGCGTCTCAGGTGTTTGTAATTCAGCTTTCAGTGTACTTTTTGGACTCTCCATTACACAACAGTTCATCATCCCCTTCCAGGAGGCTTCCAGGCCTCCAGGTCAGTAACCTGCACAAACGTCATCCCCTCCAGCTCTCTGTGGTTAAATCATCACTCCAGGAGGAAAAACAGGAGCTATCTGCCAACTCTTCTGCAAGCAGCTCAAAGCACCATGGCACAGCTCAAAGGATCATGAGAATGAACTAGAGAACAACAGGCTGTGGAGCCAAAACTGAGATCAAGCAAAAAAAAAAAAAAAAAGAGAGAGAGAACAAGGTCTGACATGAGGTGTGTGCAACAAAAAAATTACACACATGCACTTTTCTGTGAGTTTCATAATGCTGGCAGATCCTTGGATTGTGCTGACAGCTCTGTCCTGGAAATCCAGCTCTTCCAGCCCTCCCAGCCCTGCCCTGGTGTCCCCAGGAGGCTGTGGCAGGTGGGCACAGAACAAGGTGTGGCAGGAGGGGTGGAGGGTTCCAAGCAAGCACAGGCTGTCCTCTGCTCTTTCTGTGGAGTGGCTGCTCCCAGAGCACAGGCTGCTCCCATCAGGAGGGAAAATCTCATGGGGGAGTGGAGCAGCAGCCACCAGGGGCAGGGAACCCTGGGGAACTCCTTCTGTGGACTCTGGGCAAAAGCCATTGTAAATGGTGCCTTGGTTTGGAGAGACAAGAGTCTGCTAAGGAAGGCAGGAGCCTTCCTTAAGAAGTAAACTTTCCTCACCCCTCTGAATTGCTATAAATTTTAAATTAAGGGGCTCTCAGGCAAAAATATGGGAGCAGGAAATGACAGTTCTTTAATAGGGAAGGAAATAAAAGGATAAAATAAACAATGCAGTACACTAGAACAACACTGACAGAGTCAGAACCCAACCTGACACCCTGTGGGTCAGGGTGTTGGTGGCAGTCCCATTGGAATTGTGGCTGCAGCCCTCCTGGAATGTCAGGGGTGGTTCTGCTGGAGCAGGGATCCTGTAGAGAAGGATTTGTTCATCCTCTGAAGATCTAGTGGAAGAAGAGGCAGCTGCTGTTCCTCTGGGGAATCCAGTGAAGAAGCTGTGTTGGTATTCCAGAATCTCCAGATTATATCCCGGTAGGAATGCTTGGCTCCTACCCCTGGGCGGAGCATCTCCGAATGGGATGCTGTAGTTCTTATCAACAATGCAGTGACTGTGGCCTGTTATCAGTAATGTCCCCTCCCGAGGGAGGTGTGAATGTGGTCACTCAAAGAGAGAGATAAGGCAAACTGCCCACTTGACAAAGGTAATCTGCCATACTGATGGTAATTGAAAACATCTTGCCTTGCAATATGGAATACATGGAAACTTCCTCCCAGAGACACCTGGCAAAGCTGGGTGGGGATTGAATAACTTGTAAAACCACAATCAGTCCATCCCTGCTGGTTCCCTGTGCTGGGCAGGGGGAGATGGACAGACTACCTGTGCTGCTGCCTGCTGGGGCTGACACCCCAGGCTGCTCCTGTCCTGATCCTTGAGCTTGGCAGGACATCCTTTCTTCCTGGGGCTGGTGTCAGGTTATCATCCACCTCAACTCCAGCTCCATCTCCAGGATCCTCCTTGCTCTTCCAGCTTTTTGGAGAGGCCAGGGTGGGCAGGCATGACACCTTGAGCTGTGAGAGCCCCCTCTGCAGCTGAGACAGGGGGCTAGCAAAGAGCAAATGTGAGCAGTGAAGCAGCACAACTGCCATGCTCCAGAGCTCAGTGTTGGCTGGGATGTGACCTTTGCCCAGCCACCTCAGGGACTCTCAATGCTTGGGAGTTTTCCCAGTGTCTGCAAAATTTCTTAGGTTGGTTTAAAGTCTAATTTGTCCTTCAATCACAGAGTCGTGCAATTCTTTTTTCTCCTCCTTCATCCATGACTAGATAAGGCTGCCTTGTGCATGGCTTGCATGATGTACCTGTACAGATTTCTTTGTTTTATTTTATTGTTTGTACTAATGATTTTAATCATGGAGGTTTTTGCTTTGGAAATGGAAGGCCTGTAGCTTTCACAGCACAGATGGGAGATAAAAGCACTATAATCACAGAGTGCGATCAATGAGACTTTTTCCAGGAAGATGCTAAAGGCATTATTTGGCATTAACAAAGAAAGGGATAATTAGAAAATAGGCAGAGAAGCCTTTATTCCTGTAATTAATTTCAAAGTTGGAAGTTCCCTAGTGCTTTTCTGTTCAAAAGTGACAGCATATGAGCCATTGCAAAGGAGATGTGTATTAATCATAAATCAGAAACAGGGAGGAAATTGAAACCTGTGTTTCCACTGACTTTAAAAAGAAAAAGCTGCTGCCTGGAGTTAATGTGTATTCTGACTATATGTGAAGGAAAAAACAATTATAAATAGTTATTGACACATTACATGAAAGGCAAGAGGAGGATGTAGCCAAACTTGGTTTCCTGGGAGACTGGGCAGTCCTTTCCAGAGTAAAAATAATGCTCAGGAGTCACTTTGATAGCTTGAGGCTGTGCCTATGTTTGCAGCTGCTTTTTTTCTGCACTAATTTTCTACAATTGCTCTCAGCCCCACTGAGGGCCGCAGTGATGAAGGAACTGTTCAGCAAACTTCCTCTGCCTCCCTTCATTTTACCACTGTCAAAACTGTTTCTGACTGAGAAATAAGAAATGAGCGGCTCTGCTTTGGGAATGCCAGCAGCCACAGCCGTCTTGCTTACAGCCTTCTCCCATCTGGATCTTCAGCTTTAACAGGCAAACTGAACATCTTCCCCCGGGGTAAGATCAAAAACTAGCAAAGGAAAAAGTCATGCACAGCTTTCTGTGTGGTTTTTTCCCCTTCTGTCCCCTAGTCCGTGGCTGTTGTCCCCATCATCACATCCACAGGTGAGACATGAATTGGTGCAAAGTGTCCAGCTGGTGAAGGCACCAGCCTTGCTACAAGGGTGAGGCTGGAGACCTCCAGCACTGGTGGTTTTTACTTAGAAACACTGGATCCCCTCAAGACAGCTGATGTTGCAAACAGAGCCACATGTTTATTTTTTATTTTATTTTTTTAAATATGGACAGCTTTACAATTAGTTTTTTATTTCAGTGTGGGTTGAACTCATATTGTTGGCTTTGTATCATGGCTGGCTTGGCTGATGACTGGTGCAGGTGAGCATAACACTCATGGTGCCTCCTCACACCACAAGGAATTCACAGCCTACACACACTTGCAAATTCCTATTTGTGTAATTTTGGGGTTGACTGCAGAACAATTGTTCAGTCAGCTGTAATGTAGCATATATGTATTTATATATACAATAATTTAGATGGTAAAATTTTGCATGTGCACACACTCTCTCTCTCTCTCTATCTCTTTAGTGATTTTCTCACTTATTTGCTCACAAGGTTGGTTAGATCTCTTCACTTACATTCCTCTCCAAATTTCTCTAGCTTTAGACCTGCAGGCAGGTGAACTTGGCATTTTACTTTACAACAGGATCAAAAAAAATGCATAAAGGTAAGAGGATTATATACAGGTTCTATATGGTTTTATTTTTTCAGAGTTCATTCAAGGACAATCCTCCTTTTAGGTCCCATTCCTAAAGTTTCTTTGCTTAAAGGAGAGAAATATGTACATAAGCTCATCACAGAGCTCTACCCAGCATTTCACAATGTGCAGTTGGCATTTGCTGGTGGCAGCACTGGTGGAGCTCTCTGTGTTTCCCAATGTATGGAGAGAGTGTTTGAGACAACAGTTTTCTTTTCTATTACTTGTTAATTTCCATATTCTCTTCTCATTGCATGAGCTCCAAGCTCTCAAGCAAGTGGTGCTATTTAAGTTCTCCTGGAAATACTTCTTACACATGCAGGAATAGAAAAAAAATGATCTGCATGTCCCTGGCAGAAATATCTTCTGAAACCGCTAATGGTTTTCTTACCTCACAGCTATATCCAGGGAATGTTCCTGCATTTACCACTCCAAATCACTGCAGAGATGGCTTAACTCAAGGCAGACAAGCTGTTCTTCTCCTTCCAATGAAATTATTTTCTCCTGTTGTGTGTCCTTCAGTCTCATTTTTGAACATAACCTGGGAAAATCACCCCAATCACCATCAGTATTTAGTTTTTAGCCAGTGGTTGTAAAGCAAATCTTCTTTTTCTTTTATCCATTTATCTTTTCAGAGAAAAAAGTTTATTAACTTTGATAGAAGAAACTTTAAAGTTTTAATTGTATGAATCATTTTAGAAGGTAGCTCTAATTACTTTTGATTTATAATTAAAAATCAAGTTTGCAGAAAGGCATACATATGAATGTCAAATATCTAAAATATCTTAAGAAGGTACGGAATAAGACAACGGAAAAAGGCTCCAAAATTACAATTTTCCAGAACATTTAGATTTCATACTAACACAGGCAAAAATACTTGCTTAGAATACAACTTAAAGATGTGACAGGACACAATGTCATCCTTTACAGCCCACCTAAGATATGTTATGATGCACTGCAATTACTGCAAAACAAAAAACTTTCAAGACAACTTAGTAATACCTTGATTAATGCAAATTTTATGAAACATTCAAAAGGATATTAACATGTACTCAAATTTCATCCCTCGTTGGCAAATGTAAATGTAACATTTGGCTAAATAATTGTCAAAATTTCCACATTCAAAACCTTTCAGTAGCTGATTAGACTGCGGAATTAACTTTTGTGTAAATCTTCCTGAACCTTTTGATTAGCTTCCCAATTGTCACTGGGAATTTATAATAAAAATTACAGCAGCAGGCTTAAAATTATTTGAACATGCCTAGAGCTAAGAGCCAGCTAAATTGAAATCTTTTCAGTTATTGGAGTATTCTTGCTCTTCTCTCCTCTAGAAGACAGAGCAACATTTTAGCTTGTCCTAGAAAGGAGTCCAGCTTGACTGCAGGCAATTCCAGCCTGTGAAGAGACCCAAAATAGACACCTGGCTCATTCCCAAGCCATAGTTTCCAAGTGAACCAGCACCCTGCTCAGTCTCTCAGAGACCTCTCACTCACACAGAGACAGACTCTGCCACACCATTCATGCTCAGCAGCGTGTTAGTCCTCAATTAGTAACACAGGCTACACCCAGAATCAGGAGTTTGTCCCTTGTGAATAGGTTTAACACAACCTAGATCTCCAAAATGGCCTCTCTTTGTGGAGACAGACCTCATTTGCTGTAACCCCTTCACTGTGGCTGTCCTATATAGGCTCTGTTGGACTATTAAAAATCCTCTCTTTCAGCCCAAATCACCCCAGCGCTGCCCTGGCTGGCAGCACCAGGAGATCTGTGTGGGATTCACAGCCCATGGGCTGTCCCAAGGTGCTCCCACCCCATCCACATCATCTGACACATCTTCACTGACTGTTGGCAAGGTGTTTTGGACTTCCGAGCAAGAAAAAAAAAAATTAAATTCATGGTTTTTTTAGCTGTGAAAGGGAAATTAGTTCCTTACCCACTCCTCCTTCCAGGCCGGGATATGACTCAGATCCTGGTAGTTTAAGGATGATCAGAGCCGATGCTGGATTTCTTTTGTGAGATGTGTCGTAGCTGTACTAAATGCTGGGGATAAAATTACCTTCTGCTGCAGGCTGCTGCTGCTGCTGCTGCTGCTGCTGGAAAACAAGCAGGACTTCTTCCTGTAGCTGGAGGTAGATTGCTTTTCATCTGGACTTCAGTCAAATTCACAGTTTTATGACTTCCCATCGAGTGCAATCTAAAATTCATGTAAAAATACCAAAAGGAGCATACTTGTGCAACTTTGACAGTGCTGATAACTGGGGGATTGTCACCATGATATTTTATGAAAAATCCCTTCCCCAGGATTTTTCTCCTGAGAAGCTGAGAAGCCTCAGAAAAGAAATGTAAACAATGATTATCTGATTGCTTGGAATGTGGTTTGGAGGTTGCTTACCCACAGGTGCATTTTTGATTGGTTCCATGTGAATTGTTTTTACTTAATGGCCAATCCCAGTCCAGCTGTGTTGGGTCTCTGGTCAGTCATGAGATTAATTATTCATTCTTGTCTAGCTTTCTGATGTCTCCTTTCTCTTTCTTTAGTATAGTTTTAGTATATCATTATGATAATATAATATAATATAATATAATATAATATAATATAATATAATATAATATAATATAATATAATATAATATAATATAATATAATATAATATAATATAATATAATATAATATAACCAGCCTTCTGAGAACTTGGAGTCAATTCTCATCTCTCACCTCATCCTGGGGACCCTCAACACCACAACAATTGGTGACCACAGGGGATGTACTTCATGGACAATCCTTTCAGAAAGGTTTACATTTCTGCTCGGCTTCCAAATGAAAAATATCACAAGGAAACACGGGGTTATTTGTGGTGCTAACAATGCATACTTTTGAGGGTATCTGGTTTCCTGTGGTGCCTCATCCTTAGGGCACTTCATTGTGAACGTGCTGGCACACATCCTTTTCCCAAGCCCAAAGCCACCTGGCAGCTACAGCAGGAAGAATGAAAAGCTACATCCACTTTCAACGGTAAATTCTCAACCTATGCACAATTTGTTGTAGCAATATACCCATTTGCTCTCCTGCAGGGATAAATTACTGGTGTCTGGGCTATGCTGTGGAAGGAGAAAGATTTCATAATAAGCCCATAGCTTATGTTCCAAAGCATGAAGGTTTCTGCTTTATTTTAAAGCATGGGAATATCTAAAGCAATATTCTCCCCATGTAGACTTAAAATAGTTTTGAAAGACATAGTCTTATTTTCCCTCTGAATTTGCCTTTAACTTAAATTAAACACACAAGCGTGCATCTCATAGAAAAAAAAATTAAAAATAATAATTATTCCTTTTCAGTACCTGGCTTAAAATACTTAGCAAGTTCATTGATTTTTCAGAAAGCTGGAACTGAGCACAGTCTGAACAACAGGTATCTCCTGAGGCATTTCAAATAGAATATCCCAAAGCAGAGCACTCACTAGGGGTGTTTGCTTTTGAAAATCTTGACTATGGGTGACATTTCTGTTGGCTGGATCCCTTAACTCCAGGTAAGACACAGCAGAAATTAACTGCCCCTCTGTATTTACACATGCTCATGCCTTTTAAAAATGATATTTTAAGTGTAAATAACTCCCTGAATACTGGAGGTTCAATCAGCACAAAGTCCTTATACGTAGGAAGCCTCAAGATGGCACTCTTGAACTGCAGAGTTTTTCAGGGAAGCTGATTGTGAGTTTCCTGCAAGGGAAAAAAAATAAAAAGAGAAAGAAATGCAATGGTGAATGCAACCTGTGCAGGAATAACTGGAGGGAATATCAAGTAGAACAGCAATATCAGACTAAGGCATGAAAACCTACGACAAAATATATACTTGAAAATACAGATTATTATACAAATTAGGGTTGGTAAACCCTCCAAATTTTGTGAATAAACCCACAGCTTTTTGAAGCTTCACCCAGTTTTTTAGCTTGCTCGCCATCCTCTATTCACTGCTTCCTCTTCTCTCCCTGAAGGTGTTTTGATGTTACCTCAGGAGTGTCCTGGGGCTGGCTGAGGTGTTGCTCTTGTTTGGTAGATGTCAGGCAGAGCACATTGTGCAGGACATTTATGCCAGAGGCAGGTGAATAAGGGATGGTGAGCAGGAAAAGCACCTACTGAAACTTTGGTCTGCAGACCACAGGCAGAATTCTATGGTCTGTAGAGGTTGTGCTTCTCAGCTCCTCCTTCCATCGCCACCCTCCATGGAGCAGAGGCTGTGCTGTGACAGGAGACCCTGAGGGCTCCTTCCTGGATGTTCCTGCTCCTTCCTGGATGTTCCTGCTTCCTCCTGCAGCACAGGGAAAGAGGGAGGAGGCCTTGATGTCCCCAACTTCAAGGGGGGGGGGGAAGGACACCTACCTGCCCTTCACTTGGAACTTGCAGAACTTACCTGCTCCTATATCACAGCATCATTCCCTGCATGTGGGCTCCTGGGTGGAATTTCTCCATGGGAATGTGTCAGCACTGCCTGGGGGATGGACAGGGCTGTTGTCCCTGGCTCCCAGGCAGTTCTGGAGCAGCTGGCTCCAGCCAGGCACTGTGGTGGGTGACATCAGCAGGTCATCAGCCCTGTCCCATTGCGGAAGGAGGACCCAGACATGTGAAAGCGGAGCTGGGAAGGAAAGCATCGCCTCCCAGTCCCCTCCTAGAGCCTTTCTCTCTCTCTTCCTCTTCCTCTTCATCCTCCTCTTTGTCCATGAGAGGAATTTTTGTGGGAATCAGGACAGTGCAATAGGAAGCAGCCATGGGAGGGAGGATGAAGACCATGGTGGACCTACCCTGGCTTGCAAAGACTTTTTTGGTGGCTTTCTCCCATGGCATTTGCCTTCCCTGCCCCGGCAGTTTTCCTCAGGTGTTGCTTCTCTCCCTGTTGCCCTGATGAGTGTCCTGGCAGGTCAGGGTCACAGCTGGCACCATCCCAGCCCAGCAGCCAGCCTGCCCTGCTGGAGCCACCACGCTGGAGCCAGCTGTGGATCGCTCTTACAAAATCCTCTGCTGACTCACCCTTCCCTTGCTTGCCTAAGTGAAATCATGCCTGCCTTTAAACATCTCATTGCAGCATTACATGACACATTTATCCACCTCTTTCACTGCCATGAACTGCTTCAGATAAGCAGCTGTGAGGTTTTTGGGAAAGATAATGTGAGGTTTTTTCTTTGCTCCAGGGCCTCTGAAATAGGCATTACTTCTTCTCTGCTTGCTGATATAAATACAAATCTGTTGAATCTCTGAGGTTGTTCCTGGAGACGCTGGGAACTTGTTTTCTCCATCACAAAGTGGACTCAGACATATCTCCCTGGGCCAGGTTTGGTTTAGGGAGCAGCACTGTGAGAATTTTCAGTTGCTGTGCCAAGGTTGGAGGCATTATTTACATGCACCCTATTTTGCAGAGCCTGTCATGCACTGAATTTGTGTCCATGTCCATTAGCTACCCAAAGCAAGAGCCTGATCAGTGATGGATTTTAGAGGTGTACAGACAGGTAAAAAACCTGGAATGGAATTTTGCTTAGGTTGAGCCAAACCACAAAAGTTTTTCTTGGTTTGTTTGTGGGTTTTTTTCCCCTCTTTTTACTACATTTTGATCCATGCATGTTTTGGGTTTCTTCTGATTTCCTGACTTTTTGATTCAATATTGGTTTTGATGCTGATTCACCTGGAATTTAAAAAAAATTCTGCTTTATAAAATAATACATTCATTTTTAACTGAGAAAAACCTGTTGAAGTTTTTTTTATGGCCATACCAGCCGTATCTGTTGAAAATAAGTTGAAGGTTCTGATTCTTCCCAAATTTAAGAAAAAGAAAGTTGCTTTTTCTGAAGTAAAATATTTCAATCCATCTTTAAGGAAAACACTACACAATTTTTTTCTTTAGGAAGACCTACTTGCCAATCATGATAAATCTTATTTATTTCATCTTGTGATGGTTATTAAAACAGTATTGAAACCATGCTTTGGTAAGTGATATACTGCTGTACCTTGGTTTTTCAAACACAGCCATGCCATGGGGTAAGAAGACAGTTTAGGACTTGGTGTTGGATCTCCTTGTGAGGTGCTGCATCTCTCATTTTCCTATTGCTTTCTTCTGTCATTTGAACTGCTTCATGTGCTTGGTCCTGTGACATCTCCATAATGTTTTCTACAGCTTAAGCAGATGCTCAAAAGCACTAAAAGCTGTGTAGAGCTCATACAAATGTGCAATTCATCAGTTCAGAAAGGTACAAATAAAGACATTTAACAGGCTAGCATGTGAAAAGCAGTATTTTTCTATCAGCCCTGTAACACTGGTCATTTTCAGACCCCAAGTATGTAAATACCTCCCATTTCTTTCTGCTGTAAATAAATTCAGAATTATTTTTTTTTCACATATAACACCCCCCAAAAATGAAAATCATCTTTGAGCTATGTACTAGAATTTTTTACTTTCTTAGCTGCATGATGAAAACTAATGCTCCCCTCTGTCTCAGGTTGGAATACTGATTTGCAGAACTTCTCACTGGAGGACATGGTAGATATTTTTAAATCATACTTGCTCTTTAATGTGGAGAGCCATCTCTGGGAAAAGTTTCCAAGATCAGGCCCACGGTCATCATTTAGTCAAAGTGCATAATTCTTAGGTCTTTTAATCTTTTCTCATAAATCAATCCTCCAATCCCCTTAGTCGTGTTTGTTGCTCGTCTCTGAATTCCTTCCAATTTTGCAATTTACATTATAATTAGAGCTTAGTGAAACTGATGAGAAAGTGATTTTTGGGGCCAATTTTTATGCTGCTTGTAAATATTCAAAATCTGGCTTTCCACGGGCTCGTGAGAGCCCCCCAAAACTGCGTGACAATGGCAGAGACCTGAGGAACTCCCAGTCCTGGGGCAAGGACAGATGTTTTGCCAGATTCTCCCACTGTGGCTTGCCACTAATTAGTATTCATCATCCCATTGATTTCTGTGGGACTGTAACTGCCTGCAGCTCACAGTGAATAAGGACGGGAGGATCTCCCCAGTCTGCAGCCAGGATCACCAAACCTCTCCCTGGTTTGACTGAAGGTGAGCACTGGGCAGGAGCAGGGCAGGGGTTGGGTCTGGGCTCTTTGTGGAAGCAGAGGGCATCAGGCAGAGATGTTTCCTGAAGGAATTCCTGTGCTAGTGGGTGACAGTGCTGGGCAAAGCATATCCCTGGGTGGTTTTGGCTGCCATGTCACACTCTGCAGGCAGCTGGGACAAATGGTGAAGTTGGAGCTGGCACCCCGTGGCTGCTGTCCCTCCTGGCCCTTGGATCTGCCACAGCTCTGCTCACCTCTGCTCCATGCAGCCACTGTTTAGGATTTGGCCCATATCCTCCCATTTCCCACACCATTTAGGATTTTCCACACCTGGGTCTACTCCTGAGTCAGGGGTCTCATCAGCCCATCTAGAAATCTCAGCCCTCATTCTAGAGAAGCAGAAGACCGTAGAGAGGAAGGTTACCAGATTCAATACCAGAAAAATTGTTTCTTTAACATTCAGGGGAAACTGAACATTCTCCAATAGGGAGGTAACAGATTCAGAGGAGAAGGAGGAAAGCAAAGGCTGAAAAGCCTCATCCCCTGCTCCTCCTCTAACAAACTGGACGCATAACCATAGCCATGAACCATTCATACCTGGAGCAGACACCAGCATGTTTGTAAATTTCTTACAAACCATTGCCACCAAGCCCAGCAGGAAAGCTATTCTGGTCACTGCCCCTCTGGTATAAAAACCATGTATTAGGGACAATACTAGAGCTATTTCTGGATAAGAAAATAAACCTAGGGACCATAGAGAGTGCATGGGCATGTCCAGAGGCACTGAAGATGGTTTGCTGATCAGAGACCTGACTGAAGAAGATGTACAGCTGGCACAAGAGCAGCCACTGCCACCACAGCCACCTCCCCTGCTGCTGCTCCTGGTTGAGGGACATTTGCCCACGGCCAGAGCTTGCCCCAGCACTGAGCAGATCCTTCCTGCTGTGGAGAGAATGCAGCCACCACAAAGACCTGATGGATTTAACCTTTCTCATGCAGTGCAGCCCACTGGGGTGTGTGCTTGTCCATGGCTGGAGGGGTGGCTCAGGGTAGCACCATCTGTGAGCCTTTGTAGAAGGAGCTTGTGCTGAGAGTCCTTGCTGTCCCTCTCAGATCAGCTGCCATTTATGCCTCTCAAGGGCCCAGAATTGCTTTCTCATACTCTTTTCCAACCTCTATAGTTCTTGTTTTCTTATGAGATAGCTGCAATGGATTGGAAATCTGCTGCACTGGCAGCAGGCTGAAGACTCCTGTGAGAGTCTTAGCTCAAATGAAAGCTAGAGAAAAAACATTAGAAAATGAATAGCTGAACCCCTGCCTGGCTGTTTTCTGCCTTTGGCCATACCATCCATACTGTCCTCTTGGTTTTATCTCCTCTGAATGCACAAATAAGTGCACCAGTGCACATTTTGAGTCTCAGTCACACATCTCAACCAGAACCTTCAAATGGAGGATATTCACACCAGACCCTCAGAACAAATTTCTCCCGTATGCACCTTTGTAACCTCTTCCACCAAAATAATTTCTTATTTTCAACACAAGGTGCAGAAGCTTCCAGAGATCCTCCATCAGCAGGGTAGGCATATGGAAAACAGCAGCCAAATAATGAGTGCAAAGGCAAAATTTCAGGGTTTTAAGTCCTTTAGCAATTTTATTTGACTTTCAG